TGCAGTCCTGGCTGCATGCATGCTTCAGCTGCACACATGCACATGGCATTTATCGGTGACATTATTGGCTACATGGGCCAAAAAAAGCCAATTGCCAACAATGTTAATTTTCCTTTTGTCAGTGCTGATCCAATATGCCACCAATGTATCGGTGCACCTCTAATGTGCATACAATAGTTAGTGTCATAAATGTGCTGCTTGCTGCTTTGTTTTCCTGCTCCTTGAAGAAATGTTTGTTCTTATTTCCACATATATTTTGTTTTTAAATGCGATTCCTAGGTTGGGTTTTTTGTTTTGTTTTTGTTTTTTGGGGTTTTTGTGAATAGATTAGAACTTGTTTTTCCAAGACAGTGACTGGAGAGAAATGTAGGAGTTTGCTCACTTTTATTTTATTCCTTTATAGGTGTGAAGCAAGCTTGTTGTGAGTTTTTGGAAAGCCAGCTGGATCCATCAAACTGTTTGGGCATCCGGGATTTTGCTGAGACACACAACTGTGTTGATCTAATGCAGGCTGCAGAGGTCTTCAGCCAGAAACATTTCCCAGAGGTGGTTCAGCATGAAGAGTTTATCCTCTTAAACCAGGAAGAGGTAGAAAAGCTCATCAAATGTGATGAAATTCAGGTAAAAGTCAAAGGGACTGTTCCAGTATAAATCAATGAAAGCAAAATGCTTGAACTAATCAAATCAAAGATAGAGCCATGATTCCTCAGCTGTCTTTGGTTGCCTAGTTATGCTCTTGGAAAGGCCTTCTGAGTCTGAATGGTGTCCTGACATCTGCTTCTTGCTTTTATCAGCTGCATAGTCTGAAGCTGATGTGTAGATTACAGCTTCCCCTCTGCAGGAATATTTCTGTCATTAGAAAGCTAGTGCAACATGGAGAATGAAGCCCTGCTTTCCCATTTGTCACTGTGGTAATCATTAACTGCAGTTCTGCAAAATGGACCCAAACTAGTGACAGGCAGCAAGGCAAGTACAGTAGCCATAGGCTGTTTCTGTTTGAATTCTAGCTGACCTAGGTTTTTCCTAGTGCTTGGTAACCAATGGGTTAAAACCTCTAGTGAAGACAGAAGCATCCAGTGATGGCAAATGGATAGTGATTGTAGGCTCCATTCTTACTTTTTCCACTTGATTCTGTACAGCCAAGCCATATCTTGCTCTGTTTTGCTTTCCCTTTCCTTGGGGATGGAACATAACCTGAAGGGAAGTCCCTTCATAGCATCACAGATGCTTGTGCAGCTGGTTTAATTTGCTCTGAGATCAATGTACAAATCCTATAATTTGTCTTTGCTATTCTCTAGATATCATTAATAAACTAATCATTTGGGTTAATTGCAGGTTCTTAATCCAGCTGCATTTTGGGATCTGTGTTAAGCTAGCTTGTCCTGGGGCTATGTACTCTTCTGATTTGAAGTCTAGATTTTTTTCTGTTGTCTCCCTCCCCTGTTGCTTACATCTGATTTGAGGGGAGGACTCTCAGGTGGGCTTTCCAGGTGGCAGAGAGTTTCCTGTTAGATGGCTTATTTGCGAAGAAGTCTGTCACAGCTACTAACCCCTCAGAGGTTCCTGTTCTCAGATCATTCCCTCTTTGCTTTATTCTTTAAAGAAGCTTTCAGAATCATGGAGACAGGTTGCACTGGTGCCCAATGTTTGCATGTTAGTAATGTATATTGTACAGGATTTAATTTCTCACATTGGTCAGCAGCACTATAGGTGTATGTATAATCCCCATAAACGTCAAATTCTCCTACCTTTGGAAATGGTGAAAAGCAGTACAATATAGGGGAGCCATGCTTTGTTTCTAGAGAGAGCACTACTTGGAACCAATTATTTACTAGATTTCAGTCAAGTCTTGTGGGAAAGCAGATTTCTTAATGAGAACTAAAGAAAAACATTCCAGAATAGAAAAAGTGTTTTTTGAATTGTGTTTATGCAGGATGGTGGGGGTATCCTCATCAGATTGTGATGCAGCATAGAGATACCTAAGATAGCTGTAAACAAATTAGTTGACAAGGTAAATTTAGTGATCTGTAGCTAGATAGCTTGGGTGTCAGAGGCAAGCTTGTTCAAAGATAGCTCCGATATCTCCATGTCCCAGTGTGTTGTGCAATATAGACATGCCCCTGAAAGCAATTTGTGGATATTTAGGCCTTTGTGCTATACCAGCTCTTGCAATATTGTTGTATATGAAATCAGATCCAAATTTTTTATGATCCCTAAAAGTGAAATAAAAAGAGTAGTTCAGACAGAGATGGGAAGTGGATTAAGAGGAGGGTGCGTGTTAGTCCTAGTGCATTCTCCTTGCTGAGATTTATACAGCCACATGAGGAATATTAGTAAGGAAGGAGGATGGTTAAGAGACCTCTGATTCTTTCTCTCTCACAGACTTGCCTTCGCTCTCATGAGAGAGTACAAATTAGCTTCTCGGATTAAGTCAGGAGTACAGGATAGCACTGTAAGGACCTAAAGTGTTAGTACACAGTAGGATGGCTAATGTTATTATAAAGGTGCTAAGAGGGAACCTGAAAGAGTTGAATTTTACTTCAGTACTGGAAAAAGTAGTCAAATAAATGTATTAGACACATTTAGAGAAGCTTAAAATTACAGAGACAAACCAACATGTTTTCAGTAATTTTTTGAGGTGTTTATGCCCTGTTTTACTTATTTAGGGAATTCTGGAAAAAAAAAAAAAGAATCCAAAGAACTGCTGGTATCCTGTTGGGCTTTAAGGCTTTAGTAAATTTCTCATGAGCAAAATAAGAAGTGAAGTCCTGTAGCAGATAAAAAGCCAGCTTGAGAAAGGAAGTAAAGTGAAGCCATGAGGAGCCAGCTCTGGGTATGCGCAGCACTATGGCATGCTACAGTGTAGTGATCTGAAGAGGTGAGGTTACTGTGGCAGGCCAGTCAGTAGTGACATAGTGGGTCTGGTTAGTCAGCAATGAAGAGAGGTTTATGAGGCTCCAGAAGGACCACCCATGCAAAGAAAATGAGCCACACAATGGGAAATTAAGTTCAGTGTAGAGAAATGTGCATATGGCCTGAACTCTTCCATTCAGTGACCATTATCTTACGTGTTGCTGAGTTCCAAACTAGTTGTGATGTCTTTGGTAGGCAGTAGAAACAAATATGGGTGTCACCTCGGTTAAGATGCTATGCAGGGGTTTAAGACCCACTAAAAGAAGAAATGTGTTGACATGTCCTGACCTCATTCAGTTTTGCACATCACAAATCCAGCAAAGATCAGTAATGAGTACAAAATGTTTAGAACGGGGATGTACAGGGAGGGATGAGAGAGGCTAGGCTTACTGAGTTTACAAAAGAAAGAGAAAGATGAGAAATGAGAGAATTCTAAAATGCTGACTTGAAGCGAGCTGGTAGATATCTTTGCCCAAAAATGCAAGCATAAGAGACCGCTTGAAATTACGATGTGGCAAATGTAAATTGATGTAAACTGCATAATTAACCTATATAATTCACTGCTGCACAGTGCTAGTCAGTGGTGGGGTGGGGGAAGCTTCTGGCTAGACTTGATAACTTACCAGACATATGAGCTGGAAGACTCTACCTACCAAAGTATCTCTTTCTATCCTGTTATATGTTTAACTTTACTTAGTGACATAGGTTGTCTCGGGGAATTCCCATCCAAACCCATAAAATATGAAATTAAAATAAAATTTTCCAGCAGTCCTTTCTTCTTTCATATTACCTTTTGCTAATGCATGCAAAAGGCATTGACTTTCATCTGTCTGAAGTACAGAACAGCTACATGCTTTCTCCTGGTGTTTGTAGAGTGGGGTGTTAGATAGCAGTAGTGCCCGCATTGCCTTTGAAGATCCAGAACGTCTTGATCTCCACCAAGAACACACAAGCCTGAACAGACAGGTGTAAAGTGTCATAGAGAAATTGCAGCTTATAGTATTTATGATGATGATATCTGTGTGTCTATAAGTTACTTGCTTGTTCTCTAATACAGTAATATTTGTTTGTCTTTAACAGTATCCTTTGAACTGTAGATGTGAAGTCACAATTTAAATACTATAGTTACTCAAATATAAGATGAGCCTGAATAGAAGACAACCCCCAATAACTAGATTCTATAGATGGAAAATCTATAAATTGGTTATAATTTTCCAGGTATAGAATCCAAGTATTGGAGGGTTGTCTTGAATCCCCCACCCCCCACTGCTATAGCAGGGAAAGCAGGGGTGGAGGAGTCAAGATGGTCCCTTTGTCCTCTGCCCTACCCACTTCTCCTTGCAGCCTTCCTGCACCCTTTCCTCCCAGTCTCTGCTTCTCACTTCTTTCCCTCCCCACCTTGCACAGTTAGATGCTGCTTGGGCTGTTCTATCCTGTCTCCCCCCAGAGCACAGCACATGGAGCACAATGGCAGATCTGGCCAGGGATCAGACTCCATTTTCCAGCAGCCCCTGCCCATGTTGCTATGACCGGTTTCCATGGAGACCCCATCAGCAGCATTGCCGTGACAGCATGGGTCCTGGGTTTCCATGGAGACCGGCCCCAGCAGTGCTGGCAGGGTGCGCAGCTGGGTGGTGAGCTGCTCTGGGGCTACGATCTTGCAGCAATGATAGGGTGGTCCAGAGCCAGGACAGAGCTGTGATCCAGTGCCTGCATGCCCCTGCCCAGGGCGTGTGGGCAGCAGGTAGCTCTGCCCCAGCTCTGCGCCACACTGTCACTGCTGCTAGGGTCTCCATGCTGCATAGTGACTTCCCTGTACTGTTTCCTACTGTATAGATCTGTTTGGGAGAAGTAAAAGGAGAGGTTAGACATGCATAACAATTAGCCTGTTCCAAATGTGGTTTAAACCCAAAGTGGACAGACTTACCTGCCAATTAAACCAGTGTAAAGTCAGCAGGCATGGTTCAAAAGTATACCTGGAAAAATCAGGTTTTCTTTTGACCTGTTGGATTTTGACTTGTTCCATGTTACGTGCACATGCCAAGTGTTCTGTGACATGGCCCTTTGGGCAGCCTACAGTGCAGCACTCTTCACCTCCCCCACACCTGCAAGTGGCTGCTCTGGGACACAGGTTGAACTCTACTGCCCTTAGGGCCAGCAGTTACATTTGGTCTTTCTCCCCATTTCATGTCCCCTACTTGGGAACAAGGGTGGGAACATTACTGCTGCCAACCCTCCACTGCTCATGAAGGCACACTCCCATTCCTTGGGCTGCTGCCTGGCAGCTTGTTGTGGCCAGCAGCTTGCCATAGCGCTTGCCATAGTCAGTGACAATTTCAGCACTGTTTCGAGGAACACCTGCTTCAACCCATATCACAGTGTCTGCTCCAGCATGATGTCAGGTGCACCAACAGCTGAAGACAGGAAGATTTGTTCTACCTGCTCACCATTTGGGACAAAGAAGAAAACTAGTGGGCACTCCAGTCAAGCCACCGCAGTTGGGCCATGTATGATGGCATTGTTGTGCAGATGACAGCTTGGGGACCCTGCTAGGACTTGCTGCAGCACAAGGTCAAGACCACGATCTCCAAGTTGAGTTACAGGAGGGCACGAGATGCCAGTTGTGTTTCTGGCACCTGTCAGATCACCACTACATATCACGAGGAGCTGCTGTGGACTCTGCTGGGGAATTACTCCATTCAGCCCTGTTACACCCTGGTTGTGGCCAACCACATGCACTCCAGTGCCAGCTAAGATGATGATGAAGATGGGGAGTCAACCCCTGCCACTGGTCTGCCATTACCAAGGGACCAGAGAAGCTAAGGTGCACAGCAGGATTCGCCCACACTACTTTTGGGTAAGGAAATGGAACCCTACCTCACTCCTGCACGGGACAGCAAGGACAAGATCAACACAGAGTGGGCCTACTCCATTCCCTCAGCGTCACCCTAAGACTTGGCAAAGTCTCCCCAGCACACAGCTGCTTATTGCTTTGCCATCCCCTTCGCGCTCTGCAGCACAGTCTCAGGTACCCACAGCAGCATTACAGTCTTCTTCCCACTGCCCTGCTACCAGTGGCTGAGACACGTGCCAAGGAGCCCTGGTGCTGTCTGTCCCTAGAAGATTTTGGTGACCCACTGTGGTGCCATGGTACATTGTAAAATGCAGGGCCAGTATGACTGAGTGGGGAGGGAGGTGAATTTTGCAGCTACCATGGCTGCCTCGGTTCCCCTGTGAACCTGCAAACTGTGTCTCAATTTCCCCTTTGGGGGCAGTGTGTTAACAAAGGGTCCCACTGCAAGCTATTCTGCAACTTTAATTGCACGTTATGCAGTGGCTCACTTTTTGAGAGAGCCTTTAAGTGACCTGTTTAGTGTTATAACCCACTTCACATCTTATCCATGCTGTATGCTGATAACCAGCCTTCCCCTCCCATCCCACCCCCCACACACACTGTTGACTGAATATTCAGGAATTCAGATAAAGGCCCAGACAAGGGTGAGAGTAGAAGGGGGAGTGTTGGGGCAGTCTTGGCCCCTGCCCCAAATACCAACCCACCCCCTTTTTGCTTGCAGCTCTCCCATCCCCACATACCTGCCACTCACAGGTTGGGAACATCCTGCTGTTCACCATGGGATCTGTTCAGGACAAGAGACCACTCTTCTGCTCCTCTCCGCCAGTCTCCTGGCAGGCATGTAAGTAGAATCTTGAATGGGGAAATGTAAATTACTGATTAGTGAGATTTGCAGCCTTATGTTATTACTTAGTAGCAAGCAGGAGGGAAGGGGAGTCGAGGTGAGCAGGGAAATCCTGTGTGGTGAATGACCATTTCAGTGCACAACCCTGCCCCTCCTCCCCACCACCTTCCTTCCCTGCCTCATAGGTTTCATATTCCTGGCAGTGGTAGACAGGTTGACAGTCCTTGGACACTTCTTGAGGACTGGGGGTAGGGGGTGGAGACCATGTGGATGTTTAAATATTTATGCTTCCCATTGATGTGAACAAATTCCCCAGAGCAGTCCTTCATTAGTGACATCTAGAATGGGTGAAGAAGGTGCCTGGGGCTGCTCAATCTGAGCGCTGGCTACCCAATTGGCAAGGCATAAGGCAACATTGGCTGGGACACAGCAGTAGACTGGGGAGCAGGCAAGCCATGTAGTGAGACCCTTGAACTACAGTGGTCTGTGGCAGTGGGTCTGACCCTGTGGGTGGGCATGGGTAGGGGAAGAGATCCCTTAGCAGAGCACTACTCCAGAGCTAGGTCGATGGGTACTTTAATCTCAACCCAGTTGCCCCACAAAAGATACTGGTACCAGTTGCAGGTAGCCTGATAGTCTAGACCTCATGTTGAAAAAGGCTGGTTCTCTTCTATTTACACTCGAGGGAATTGCCCAACAATCATTCTCAGGTAGGGAAACAGCATAGAGGGATGGGATGTCCTGTGCCATGTAGAACAGCATCTTCTGGTCCACGGTCAGTCTTGCCAGGGAGGTAGCAGGGGAAAAAGTAGCACTTTTGCAATGGTAAGTGAAACCAAGTATGGACAGTGAGAGGCTACCCCAGGAAGTGCTGCACATCTCACTCCACAGTGCTTGCCCTTGAAAGGTTCAAAGAGAAGGGTTAGTGGGAAAAGGTACCAGCACACAGGCTGGTCATAGGGAGCATGTGGCATCATGAACTTAGTCCTGGCAGCCAGGAATGAGAGCCAGCAGGCAGCCCCTACAATTGGTGTTGGGAGGTCTTCATCTGTATCTCTATAGTCAGGAGTTTGCAATGAATGCCTGTTCCTCTGATCTTTTTTCTAGGGCCAGCACTTACAGCCTCCCCTGGACCCAACAGCAGCTCAAGGCCGCAGCACAAAAGGGTAGCCCAGCACTGGAGGCAGCCAGCTTAGAACAAAACTGAAGATGTTAACAGCCCTTGTCAACCTCCCAGCCAAGGGCTGCTGCTGTAGATGAGTGGAGGGGGCTCATGGAATAATTCCAACAGCACTGTGCCCAGGGTGCTAATTAAGGGGGATCTCAGCTGAGTCCCCCCCCAAGAGATAAGAACCCCCCCCTGTAAGATTTGAAAACCATAACCTGGGTGGGTCTCCGATCAGATTGCTCCTTCACTTAGGTGGACTTGTTAATCAACTGGTTTAATTTTTTTGCAAAGCCCCCATTCCCACCCCAAAGAGTGAAAGTGTAATTCGAATTTTGACTGTGCCTGCCTGATTTAGAAGCCCAGGCCAGGTGCATGTCAGTGTTCCAAGCCCAGGGGCATGTGGCACACCACATGCCCTGCCAGAGAACATTTAGTAGGGGATGAGAACCAGGCCCAGCTAGCAGCTTCCATCAAGATGCACACAGAGAGCATCCTGGATGCTGTCCGTGCTGCATCACTCAGCAGCTGCTGACACCTTCCCATTGCTGGTGGCAGCAGCATTCCCTGGCATCCCTTCTGTTTTCCATGACCTACGGGGACCAGTGCAGCTCTCCTCTCCTAGGGCAAGAGAAACCAGTTCTTACACGCAGCAATCCAGTGGCAGGACACTGTTCTTTCCAGGCACTTTGAGCAGGCCTCAGCCTCCCTGCACCACTGCAGTAGCGGCAGTGTGCATGAGTGGGGATGCCTCAGCCCAGTCCAGTTCATTCAACTCCTTGATTTTGAAGCCATGGTCCCTCAGTACTGACTACCCCACTACCCTGGGGAAAAGTGACCAGAGTGTGGCTGCTGTCCATGAGCTGCCTTCAGTTTGTTAAATTTTGTTGTTTGAAGTGGGTTTTGTTCTCGTGATAAGAGATGAACTACTTTGCACTGCATGTTTAATAAAAGTTCTTATTGTTTTTCCCCAAAACAAGTTGTGTCCTTACTTCCCACTTGACTGTAGCCCCTCATCTTGCCCCCTGGCCCTGGAAGTCTAGGCGTCTAAGCTCCAAGCGTTAAGCACACTGCATGAGTACTATCATGATTATATGGTTTATTGGCTTCATGGTTAGGAGAAAAGCAGAAAATGTGCCCGTTCTCAAGTCCCGTCCTGTCCCGTCCTCCCCCACTTCCATCCCCGTCTTGCGTCTCGAGTCTCTGGGATTGGAAGTAGAGCCATCAGGACACAAGCATGTCCTGGCGGTTGCTGACCCTTGAGTGTATGGAAGTCCTGACAGACTGGCAACTCTCCAGTTACCATACTTCCTCTGCCCAGGCCTCATGGGAAAACTCCCTCCTTGGTCTCATAAATTTTACGGAGGGTGCAGGCAGAGAAAACTGTGTGGGGCATGATGAGCTTTGTGACATCCAGCCAGATACCCAGTGTCTCCCAGGGAGCCTTAAGGCACCCAGAGTGCACTCCAGTCATGTGGAAGCTGCTGGGGCACTGGTTAAAGAGATTTCGGTGGGCATCCAAGTGGCTTGTGCAGGGCTTCATGAGCCAAGGTTGGAGCAGGTATCCTGGGTCCCCAATTAGAAGGGAGGAAATCGCACCCCCAGCCTTGATTCTGGGAACCTTGTGTGCAAAGTCCCTTTGCTGCATCCCACCCAGGAGGCTGGAGTTGTGGAATACCTTGGCATTGGAACATTACCCAATCAATCAACAGTCGCATCTCTGAACTGTCCTTCAGAGTCCACAACACCCCATGACACCATGGAAAAGAAACCCTTGTGCTTGCTGTCATCCATTTCATTGTGCAGGACCTAGGATGGAAATGTGTGTGCTGTGAATGGCCCCAGTGCGGTTGAGAACCCAATAGGGCTGAAACCAGCCACAGCCACCTGAGGGTTGGCAAGGTAGATAAACGGTGTTCCCAGCACTTCCTTCAGCACCAGATACACATCCTGCACTGCCAAATCTGCCATGGACTTCCCCATGCCAAACTGATCTGGAGAGCCTTCGTCCCTGATTAAGCACTAGTGCAGATTTCCATGAAGGTGGTTCAGGACCTATGGGACTTCATCCACCACTGCTTATTGTCCCAGGTGGACAGGATAATGCCCTCCCATCCATTGCTGCTTGTCTGCCTTGACCAGAAACACCATTCCATGATTTGGAGTTGTTCTCACATCATTTTGGAGTCTGTGATGTGCTGTACGTTGTCATCTTCCTCTGCCATGTTGGTGTGCAACAACATCAACATGAAAGATTGTGGGTGTGCTTCCATTTGCATTCCTCAACTACTTATGTTGACTTGCACCTCCAGTGAGCTGTGAGCTAGTTGGCACGTGCAGCTGAGAAAGCCAGGGAAGGCCCACAACCTCTGCCTAGAGCAGCACTTCTGAGACTGAAGCCACCGTAGCTGTGCACAGAGGACTTGCACAGTACACCACCTGGTAAGGCTCCATCTTCCACTTCCTGTGTTTGGAGTGAATCTGACCTGCCTCCCCAGCACATGAGTTAGTGAGGGCGTTGGGGATTGCTTTTGTGGCTGTCCAGTTGGCTATTTCCTGTGTGCTCAGGAATCCTTAGGTGATTCTAGAGACTCAGCTACTGTGGTGGAGGCTTTCTCTGCCCCCCTTGTTACCTGTGTCCTCACCTGGACTGAGGAATGGTGAGCACTTTGGGTTGGATTTGGACTGCTGTGTGCTTGTATGATACACGTACAGATCTGCTGGGTCAAGACACTAGTGACCCGGAGTTTCTCCTTAAGCCCAAAATGTTAATCGGTGTCTTCGATATACATAGATGTAACAATTGTATCGGTATAAAAAAATATAAGCTCTTATGACAATGCTTCCCAGACATTTCCTTAGTATGATCCCAGTTCCTCAGCATGGCTCCCCATCCCTGTGACCCCATCTGCTGATGTTGTGACCCTCCATTTGGGTTTGCGACCCACAGTTTGGGAACCACTGTCTTATGATGCTGCTGTTATATCTGCATAATTCTGTAGTGATGCAAATGTAGCAAATCCTCTCTAACTCTGCTTCATTCAGGTCCTAATTGGAACAGTTTAACTCATTTGCACTGGTACAGGATGGTGCATATGTAATGGTTGCAGTATAGCAGCAGATGTGCACACCCCAGTTGCAGCTCTCCTTTTGAGCAGCTAAAATGTATGTTATTCATATCCCAAGTCCCTGTCTGTGCTCTCGTCTCTCATACAGTTGCAAGAATATTGTCAGCACTTAATGAGGTACTATATCCGTGTGTATGCTCTGATTTTGTGAATTGTGTTCCATATTTGCACAGAGCCTATAAAATGGAAGTAAATATGGTATACGTAGAAACTATTCGGTGGTTTATACCAAAGAGCAACTTTGTTGTCAAAAATGATGAGATTCACTACTGAACAAATTTGCTAAAATTATGTTCATTTTTATTTTGAAAACTCACAGTAATATGCAGTAATTCTCAGACCTGAGTAAAAAATACCTCTTGTATGATATCTTTACAGTATAAATATGTGCAGGCAGGGAGATGGACTAGATGACCTCTGGAAGTCCCTTCCAGCCTGACTTCTCTCTGATTCTTTGAATACAAATCAAGAAATCCTGACCAGTCCAAATGAACTTTTTATCTGGCTTTCTTCAAAATGAATTTGGGACTGCCAGATCTGAAAAGCTTTGAAAATAACCCTTCCTTTAAAAACAAAACAACAACCCCCCCCCCCCCCCCCATATCTTTTGGTAACTAATTAAACAGTAAAGAAACCTTTTAAAGTTCACAGAGTCAGATTGCATGGGTCTGAAAATTGTAAGTCTTTTGCTAGATGACCCAACTCCTTCTCTTCCAGGCTAAGTTTGTCAATGTGCATGTGCTTATGCTGTCTTTTATCCTTTCTTCTTTTATTGTTTGTCAGTCTGGTGCTCTCTCTGTTTCTGGCAATAGAAAATGCATTGTGGAGATGGGGGCAACAGCCCGTTTGTGGAGAGGAGTTTTACTAGCTCATGCATTGAGGTTATGATGCTGCTACAAACCTCGTTTCAGAAGTTGTTTCTTACCGAGGACACTATATAAATACCAGCATTGTTTGTTTCCACAGATTGAAGTGTCCTGTAGCATTTAGCACTTTTACCAGGTATTATTTCAGTGTAGCTGGTATTCCAAGGAAAAGATGATGCTGGCATAGTACAAACTTTAGAGGGAGCTGAAGTAAACCCCCATCTCAAAAGCATGAAAGAGCATAATCTCTTCTTTTTCAAATGCTCCTTGCTTATCTGTTTCATAGATGCTTTCCTTTGAGTGACAGGTCATAGAATCACAGAAATGAAGGGCTGGAAGGGACCTTGAAAGATCATCGAGTCCAGCTCCCCTGCTCTGGGCAGGAATACTGCTATGATCAAATGATCCCGGCAAGGTGTTTGTCCAGTCTCCTCTTGAAGACTTCCAAGGTTGAGGACTGCACCACTTCCTTGGGAAGTCTATTCCAGATTCTGGTCACCCTTCCTGTAAAGCAGTTCTTTATATCCAACCTGAAACCATCCTCTAACAGTTTATGGCCATTGCTTCTAGGTCAACAGCTTGTGTATGTATACAGACTTTGCCCTCTGTCTTTGATAAAGGTCCACTGAGTTAGAGATAGGAAGAAAAAAAAATTTTTTGGATATACTTTGGTTGGATACCTCCTATCTTTACAGAAAGACTTTTTGCATAGAAAGTTCCCTTCACCCCTTAGACCTATACCGTATGAGGACATGGACACATGTAACACTTAGACCTATTTAAAAGCAGATTCAACCTGAAACGGACAGACCTACCAGCTGATTAAACAAGTTTAAAATCACCTGGAGTGGTTCAAAATTGTACCTGGAAAATCAGGTACTCCTTTTGAGCTAGTTCACAGGGCACCAGTTCATTGTTACCTGTGAGCACCAAGCATCCTATGACATGGATGTGGTTGGTCCTC